AAAAAAAAAAAAAAAGTCTAAAATGAAACATTTCTCTATTTTTTGTTGGTACCAGGGATCGAACTCGGGACCTTGCGCTTGCGAGGCAGGTGGCAGAACCACTGAGCTAAATCCCCAGCCCAAACACTTCTCCATTTAATAATACAAACAACAACAACACATAACTATCCCCATGTCCATGGACCAAAGACTCACCATTGTTAAAAACATAAATTATACCTCATCCTCAAACTATCACAGGTTAAACGTATTCCTAATTAAAATCCCAACAGGGATTATTTTGGTAGAAATCAATAAATTCATTCTAAAACATGGAAAAGGAACGGAACTTTTTAAAAGAGACAAAATAATTTTTTAAATAAACATAGTTCGAAGACTCATACTAAATTCCAAGACTTCTTAGAAAGTTGTGACAAAAAAAAAAAAAAAAAAAAGTCGTAACAACAAAAACCGTTTGGTATGGATGCAATGGTTAACAGAATGGGCTGGGCATGCTTCCAGTACTCAAGAGGCTGAGGCAGGCAAACTGCTGTGAGTTCAAGGCCAGCCTAGGCTACATATTAAGTTCAACACTGCCCTGAACTAAAAAGTAAGACCCTGCCTCAAAAAACGAAACAAATAAAATAAATTAAAAAACCAAACAAATAAACAATACAACACAACAAAATAGAACAGAATGGACAGAGTCCAGAAATAGACCAATTCATATGTGGTGAAACAATTTTCATTGAGGTTTCAAGGCAATTCAATAGGAAGACTAATCTTTCAAGAAATGGTGCTGACAACTGGAAATCCACATGCAAAATCATGTAATAATTTCCAACCAAATCTTGCACAAACAAAAATTACTTAAAACAGATCAGGACTAACTGTAAGATTTCAAACATGAGATTCCTACATGACTACACTGGAAAATCCTTTATGATCCTGGCCTTGGGTTAGGCAAGGTCTTCTTAAGTAGGACCCACACCCTACACAAGAAAAAATATCAATATAATGGACTTGATCAAAATGAAAAAGCTGCTGAGCATGGTGACACATTCCCATGATCTCAGCAATGGGGACTGGGAGACTGAGGCAGGCAGACTCAAGAGCACCGACTGAGCAATTCAGTGACATGGCAAAAGCTTGTTCAAAGAAGTTTTTAAAAGGTGGTGATGGCTGAAGACGTACCTCACTGTGAAGACCAAAAGAAAAAAAAAGAAAACCTCCTCCCTGTGAAAGACATGCTAGGAGAATAAAGACAAACTAGACTGGGTAAAAATACTAGCAGAAAACTTATCTTATAAAAGACTAGTATCCAGAATATATAAAACATTCTTCCACCAATTCAATTTATAAAGAAGAAAAAACAGGGGACACAGAACATTTGAAGAGAAGTTCAGTGAAGAGACAGATACAGGTAACAAGTACACGAAAAGTCAATGCAAATAAAAACAACAATGAGGTATTACAGGGCATCTATCAGAATGGCCTTGGGGCCAGGGATTTGGCTGTGGTTTCGCAGCCTGCTGCAAGGGCAAGTGCAAGGACCCGAGTTCAATCCCCGGCACCAAAAAAAAAAAAAAAACAACAACAACAAAAACCCCAGAATGGCCTTAAAGGAAATTAAATACTAAGAAAAGATTTCTTAAAATGTTATTAAAATGTGCTCACTTCGGCAGCACTTATACTAAAATGTTATTAAAGTGCATGAGAATGTTTTTAAGTTAGATCTAGTGACATCAATTAGCACTTTTTTCCCCTAGTACCAGGATCAAACTCAGGACCCTGTGCTTGCTAGGCAAGCGCAGCACCGCTGAGCTACATCCCTGGCCCTACTGGCATCAATTAGATTTCCATGAAACTTACCAATTTACGGACAACTTCCCTTAAAGCTTTCTCATCCTCAATCATAATGGCCATGTCCTTCTGAACAGTGGAAGCCACTACAACATCCAGGACGTCAGCCTTGGAAGCCATCTTGCAAATCATCTCATCATGGGAAAACACACAATAGCGGTGAAGCAAGCGATAATGTTCCACACACTGTCGGCCTAATGGCAGCTGCATCATAAGACAGAAGGAAAGACATGCCATCCATCTTTCTTCTATGTCCAAAAAATTCTCATTCGTACTATCAGATTATTAAGTATCACATTCTGGGTCAAAACAACCCCTATTCAAAACTAAAACCAGACTCTAAACTTCCTAGGCTAGGCCCTGAGCTGTATTTATTTTAGTATCCCAAATATCTGGCATATTAAATATCTTAATTGAAGAAATGTTTTTTAAAAATGTATTAGTGATGGGGCCAGGGATTTAGCTCAGTGGCGCAGCGCCTGCCTGGCAAGCTAGAGGCCCTGGGTTCGATTCCTGGTACCAAAAAAAAGCCCCTAAAAAAAAAAGTATTAGTGATGAATTAATGTGCATAATAATATGGAATACAACTGGAAATTCAAATTTACACATTCTGAAACACTGCTGAACTGCTATGGTTCAATCAACTTCAGGACTACATAATGGACAGTAAATTTAGATACAACTAATACTATTTAAAAAACACTGCAACAAAATTACAGCTCATTAGTTTAACACCACACATACCTCATCTAGACAGGGTTTTTTTTAAGTAAATGAAAAGCATTAACAAATATTCATAAATATTCAATTTTAACTGAAACTAAATGTATCACCGAATTGCTATTACAGATGATTTAAGCCAGTGTGTACAAAATTTCATAATGGCATTGTTTGCTACAAGTTTGTAATGAGCTTCAGTCAGAATGTAAATCAAAAGGGTCTTTTCTTCATCAAGAAAGTCTTCTCAGGAGGCTGAGGCAGGAGGATCCCTGTGAGTTTAAGGCCAGCCTCGGCTACAACGTAAGCTCAAGGGCAGTCTGAACTGCATAGTGAGAACCCTGTCTCCAAAAAAGAAAAAAAAGAAGTCTTGCTACAAGGCAGGCTACTCAGGAGGCTGAGAAAGGACAATTCCTTAGGCTTAGGAACTCTTAAGCCAGCCTGGGCAACCTAATGAAACCCTATCCCAAACAAAGGCAGAAACAAAAGCTCTACCATACCACTACAACAAAAAAAGAAAAAATGTTGGGCTTCAGATGTAGTGTAGTGTTAAAGCACTTCAACTGCAAGCACAAGGTCCTAGATTCATTCTCCAGCACCAAAAAGAGAAGGAGGGAGGGGGAGGCGGAGAGGGAGGAGGAGGAGGAGGAGGGGGAAAGGGAGGAGGAGAGGGAGGAGAGGGAGGAG